AATCGATGGTTTTCTGGGGCGAAGAACTAGAATCTGCACTGAACTTGCCTCGAAGTCCCATTGGTTTAGGATCAACCAATAGAAATCAAGTTATAGGAAAAGCGACTTTCTGAGGCTAAGTAAGGCCGAAGAGTTGAAATCTGAACTCTATATGCTCCCTAGTCTTATTGGTTGAGCAGTAACCAATGGAATTGAAGGGTTTATAGAAAAGGTTTGCCAGGCAAATTTTTATATCCAGACATTCTAAGATGACCGATTGGTCTCATTCACTTTTTGAAGTACACATAACTCTCGGATATAAATCCGAGATTTACACATTTATTTTAATTCAGCTTGAATGATTTTCATATATATTCTCTTTCCTTCATACTGACGTGTTCCAACAATTCTTCAAAAGTTAATGAATTATCTTTATCTTTTGATATTTTATCAAGTTCTTTGATTATATTCTGTCTATTTTTGCGGATTTCTTCATTTTCTTTTTAAGTGGGCTTCTCGTGATCATTAAATGGTTCTAAAAATCATCGTTTTTCTCACTGGAAAATATGGAATACCAGAGTCATTTAATACCACCTTTTACTTGTTTCTTACAGGTATGTGAGTGCTTGTGACTGTGACGATTTTTAGATGGAAGAAGAGCTAGCGCTGATGGAACTACGCTTTATTGTATTTCTTGAGGGTATGGGTGTTTGTGTTAATCTTCAATTGATCTAAACTCTCACCCACCATACCCACACCACATCCGCACCCTCTCACTCTAGTATTAGTTAACTTATAAGAGAAGCTGAATATAGTATAATTTTAATGTGACTGATAACCTACAAAAAAGAGTTTTTAAAAGAAATAATAAATGAAAATATGACAATTATGTAAATTATTAGATAGAAATAATTTTCATATTTATCATGTTTACATACTTAACCTGAAGATCTTAAAAATCGATTATGTCGGCCACGTTCAGTAATCGTACCAAACATTTTAAATTTGGCAGTTTGACGATTCTAGCGACAAACTGGATTGAGAGTAGCTTGTTACTATCTGGCAAGGATGTTTATTGACTACTTCACATGTCCAGACTGTAATAAGTTTACATACAACACAAGCTTATATATGAGTTGAAGATGATCGATCAACTCGATAATCAATACAAAAGATTTCATCGCTAGAGAAAATAAATTTACTTTTCAAATTCTTTAATGAGAGTGTGGGTGTGTGGGTGCGTGTGGGTGTGGATATTCCTTAAGAAAAGAACAACACCCACATCCACATCCACACTCCACATGCCCATACTCCACACACCCATGCCCCGCCCCTCACCCCACACCTACAGGCACAACCACACGCGCACGCACACCCACCCACACCCTAACCCTACACCTCACACCCCACACCCACATCCACACCCCACTCACATCCACCCACACCTAAACTCTCACCCCACACCCACACCCATAAATGGATCCATTACAGAAACATATCCGGTTTTTCATTATGTGAATTTTAGTTCTAGTGCATATTTATAAGTACAGTATAGAGATCTTCTAAAATTGGGAAAATTAGCCTCACTTTTCGAGTTTTTTCGAATGTTGATTCGAAAAACGAAGCTCATCCATTAGATTCCGAATCGGGAAGATCGCGTGCGTCGATATATTCGAACTAGTTGTTGTCGCACAAAAATTGTTAGTTCCAAAGGGCTCAATAGAATATTTTTAACTTTAAATTTGTTTGATTGGAAATTTCAAAGAAATGGAGAAAAAAAGAAGAAGACGAAATTTGGTTTTAAACGAATTTTACCATTTGTAAGCATGTGTCTGCGGTACGTCCCTTCCGTTGTAGCCATGTGTCTTACGAAATAAATGTTTTGATGCATCAATATGTGCAGCCAGCTTTTTGAAAACATATCTATTCATAATAGTAAAAGTATGCAGTTCAGTCTGGGATGTGGGTTTGGGGGTGAGAGTATAAACTAGTTGGAAAAAAGATCAGTCGATCTGTCAACAAAAAGCCAAATCAATCTGCTTGTCTTAACTCCTGCTTTTCAGCAACCGATCTTCTTATCATAAATATAATTTCAATCGAATTTTAATGAAATCTATACTTTATGTATTTAATTTCAGACTATTGTTGTTGAAATCCAATCTAGATATTATGATAACGTTACACATCCATACCCTGATTTCTATTGAATTTCTTAGTCAATACTCTATAATTATAAGCATTAATTTACAGAATTGATTTTTTTCATGGTCAAGTGATTATTAAAGAGTTTGAGAATTGGACTATCATTATAAATTCAAATAATTGGTATTACTTTAAAATACATGTTGCCTTGAAATAAGAGTTTTGAATAAGTTATCATGGAATTATTTCGGTATCATTAGATCGATAAGATTAATGTGTATACACAGAAACCGGATACAGAAAAATAGATCTATTGACGTGAATGTCTGATACAATTTGTACACTTAAAATATTTTTATCTGGTATCGCAAAACTCATAATAAGATATTAATTCAAGAGTCTCACTTAATAATTGAAATCACAAAACTTAATCGAGTACTGAGAAGAAAGACGCACAACATATTGAGGCCGTACATTACACATTTAACGTGTAAATCTATCGTGTTTCGTCAGAGAAAGAAAAAAAAACAGAAAAATATGTTTCATTATGATTCTTGCAGGAATATATATAAAGGGAGACATTTTTCAGCCAGTTTTATTCATAAAACAAATTTTTCGAGAATATTCAAAAATGATCTTTAAATCTTTCATTACTATGTCAATCATTGCTTCTTGTAAGTTAGAGGAACTACGATAGACTTAATTGGAAAAGAATATATATATATAAACTTTTAGTGCTTCGATTGGCGTACGGAATTTCTTGCAACATATGTGAAGATTGGACTAGAGGTTGTCATAACACGCTACAGGTTCGTGATTTTGAACATTGCATGGTAAGTGGATGATTCATTTTACTTTATATATTGATAGAAAAGGTAGAAAATTTTAGACGACCACAGGAACATGCAAAATAGCAGGTACCACTGGTTCATATACGGTTTTGACAGCCGGAACACCTTTGACATGTAATCGTACTGAAACATGGACAGAAGATATTCCAGGTGTAAGCTTTTCCTGCAGATTTACATTTTCTTGTTGTTCAACTGACAATTGTAATAAATGCCCGGATACTGGATGTCTCAGTATCATTAGTGGTGGTTCGAACAAAAATAAGGTTCATTTCGGAATCATGTCTATTTTGATTTTATCATCAACATTTTTCTTACAATTTTGAATCAAGAAACTGAATGAAAAATATTTTTCATTTTTACTTTTTGTTCTATAAACATCAAAATTTTAAATAAAAAACGATTATTAAGAAGACTTCGAATAGACTATAAGATTGTTGAAGACTCTTAAGGATTTGTTCGATTGAAGGTAAACTTCTAACTAAAATAAAACACCCTCTCGTAAAAGTTAAGTCTTCAAAATCATCATAGTTTTTTATGACTAGGTATAAAGAATCCTCGATTTCAACAGATATTCAATCAAAATTTACACTTTTACTCTGGATATCATTATGTACATAAGAAAATAAAACTATTCAAATTCTTCTAATCAAAATAATTTTGTCCTTCATTCCACTATTCCTGCAAAGTTATATGACAAAAAATACCATACATTTGAATGCATTGTCTAGAGTAGATGAAGATCGAAATTAACATGCTATGATAACAATTCTGTACAATCAACCTATCAAAAATTTTGAACTGTTTATCACTAATTTTTTAGACATTTACAAGAATAGTAAGATTACTTCCAGAGTAATCGTTATATTTTGTTTGTATAGTATTTCTTTATAATTCAATATGTTGCCTATACATTCTGGATATACATTATGCACACACAAATATAGCTAATGTTAAAAAAGAGTTGAGCAAGCACCGAAGTATTAATAACTAATTAATTCTTTTTTGTTAAATGTGTTGTTATTATACTAAAAAATCGTAAAAGAAGTTACTCAGTTTTGTATAATTGATTTAGTCAGAAAATAAGCTTGGATTTCTTGAAGAAAATTGAACGTATAATGAAAATATGGATAAAAAAAAATTAATAAATCTGAAAAGATTAATATATTTGTTTTACGAAACAATTTATTGATTGAAGAACAGAATGAAAAAATATATCGGTGTTCGAAACTTTTTTGTCAAAAAAAAGTAAATTAGTTTTATAATAACTTCTGTCTGCCTTCAATATATTCATAGATAATACATATTTGTCATTGCTGTCTATTAAACTTCTTTCGAAACTGATGGCTGTCGATGTATGTCAGAATCGACAACATGCGTCTTCAGTCCCTCTTAGGGGTGACACTTTAACTTTATTTCAATTTGTTAAAGAAAAGTAATGTAAAGCAGTTAGGTTTACTTTGTTCAGTAAAGTAAAGCAAATAACTTTACTTTACTCGGTAAAGTAAAGTAGATCCACTTTATCCAAAAAGTAAAATGTAGTAAAGTAAAGTAAAGTGGAATATCTCTTTCTTTACCAAATAGTCAAGACATAGTAAAATAAGATAAAGTAAAGCATGCAGTGTATGGTTATTCATTTATAGGTTTCTTGTCACATATTAGTCACACTCTACTACGTCAAAGGTTGCGTCGAATTAGGATTCTAAGGCTTCAACAGGTTTAAAACTGATTTTATTTCAATATGAGCCAATATTGAACTCTGAATATTTTTCATATTTTTATATCCCATATTATCAGAGGGTGTGGATGTGGGTATGAGTGTGAATATTTCTTCGTATCCACATTCACTCATACCCACACCCACACCCCAAATTTCGACTAGAATGCTTCCAGATAGTTATAAAGTTTCAGCCCTATGTATTCACTCAATTTTATCCCCGCATTGTTACTCTACAATTCTCAATCTGTGGTTTACCACGGCACTCACCAGATGAATAGCCAATTACGCGGTTTTCGGTAAATAAGATTTGGATGGATGAAGATCAATTACATGGCAAATGTTCAGAAAAAGTTCAATCATTAGATGGCTTATCTCAAACATTTCCTGCTAAAAGCTCTACTATTGATTTTATACCGTGTCGAAGAGCAGGACGCTATGTTGATAATTTTCGTATCCTACAGTTAGGCGATAATATGCTTCGAAGTGAAAAAGAAATGGAAAAACTTCGTGAGCTTGAAGATCCAGAAAAAATGAAACACATAAGGAAAAAAATTGCTAATTGTTTCGTGGAACGCTATAAATATACTAAAGAAGAATCAGATGTTTATTTAAAATTTGCACAACGATCGAAAGATAATTCCATACAATTTCAAATGCTTTGTTCAAAAACCGAGCTTGTCACATAATATTTCGATAAACAACATCAAACATTATATCACTGAATAGTCTCACATTTTCTACGAAATATTAATTTCTTTTTCTCTGCTTAATTAAAGATGATTGCAGCTCATGATAAATTAAATAAATTTGTTAATTTATAATTATGAATAAAAACGTAAAACTGTATTGAAAGATTGTTCAGTGTTATGATGACTACAAAGTGAAGTAGAAGTAGGCTAAACTTCGTACTTATAAGAGTGACAAATAATGTCCATAAATTCTCAACTCGAGAATATTAAACGACACAACAAGTTACAAATCAGTTACTATCATAGAAAACATTCTGAATGAGTAATATGTAGCTATGAGTGTGAATATACGACTTCTACATATATTAACACAATGCAGTCTCATACACATATCTGCATTTCACTTCTACCAGAATCAAAAGCAAAAGTCGCTGAGGATATAGGTGAAAGTTAGGATAACACAGCTGGTGAAACATGAGTATGAGTCGTTTAGTTTTTGTAATAATCCTTCCGCGGACTCGACTTTAAACACCAGTCAACTAATACTTTCAATAGTCTTAACAGAACAACAGAAATACATTTTCAATGATGTAGGTTTTTGCATCGAGAATTCACGTGTGATATAGAATTTCTGATTGTCAGTACAAAATATGAATACCATTTCAATACTGATACACTTTTTTATTTTATTAAATTAAAGCGTCGAACATGATAACTATCGAAATTGACCGCATACAGATTACCATACCGATCGAAAGATATACTATCGATTCCATCCCACTGCCCCGTTTACCATCAATAACAACACTGCCCTGTCTAGCTCCTTCAGTCCAACGCATAATTCGATCGTTGGTGTCGTCAGCCACATAAAGAGTACCTGATGGATCAACAACAATTTCTCGTGGATTTTGAAGTTGTTCGAGACGACTTCCTAATCCATGACCACCGGCAACAATAATACCCGATTTAGCATTTTTCTTCCATTTCATCACAGGATGATTGAAAAGATCAGACACGTATACTGCATGATCTTGATCGACAAATACGAAATATGGCATATTAAATTGGTTGAGACCACTACCCATTCCGTTGCCACCCGCAACTACTGTTCCTTCAGAATCTCCTCTTCTATATCCTCTCACCTCATTTTCACTGGAGAGCGTAACATACAGAGAGCGGCTTTCATCCATAGTTAAATCCCAGCAATCAACGTCCGATATAATAGTAGTTCCACTTGTACCATATTGGCGAGGCCATCGAACTACTCTTTTATTACCATGATCGCAGATGATAAGACTATCTGTCACTTTGTCAACAATTACATCTGTTGGATATTCTAACTAATGAGTTTCATTTCCTTGTCCATATCCACCAGCGAAAACTTGGCCAGTTGTTGCATTCACTTTCCATTTCATAATACGATGATTAAATTCATCAGCAATATAAAGGTTTTCTTCATCATCCAAAAATAAACCTTGTGAATTTTTGAATTGATTCGTTCCGTTACCTTCTCCATATCCTCCAGCAACAATAACACCTTGTTGTTCCCAACGAGCATCCTCTAGAATATCAATAGAACTACCGCGCAATGGTGTCCATACTGTTGGAAATAGAAATCAAACAGACAGAGGTAAAAACAGAAGAGTTCGCTTTACTTTTATTGTCTCAAATGAACGGAAAGGCACTCCTTAAATTCAGAGAAGTCAAAGACGTATATATCGCCATCAAAAAAATTTAAAGTTCGTTCGTTTTGTTTGCTTTCAAACTTTTTATTACATCTTAGAAGGCAAAGAAAATATTTGCTTTCTCCTGAAGAGATATTCATTTTTCTACAATTAATATTTGTGAAGATTAACTGTTTTTTCTTTGATGAAAAGGTACAGATGAAGAAACAGAGATAAGGTAGAGAAATGCCAATAGAATGTTACTTTATCGGAGGAGAAAAGAAAAATAAATTTCATATCATACTTATATTTCATTTGCTAATGCTTCTTTAGATAAGAGCGAAAAAAATTCTCAAATACAGAATAGAAATAAATTCTATTTTTATTAACATATTTTGAAAAGAGATTTCGGAGGAAAACTTTCAATTTTATTCTTTGTATTAATTTATGTAATTAAATGCAAAAACAAATGTGAAGAAAAAACTTTCAATAACGCCAGAAATATAAGGATGTTACTCACCTGGTCACTGAGTAGTTGTAGTAGTTGTTGTGATGGTGGTCATCGTTGTAGTAATAGTGGTATTACCTATTGTTCATAATCATAGAATATGTATAAGCGTGGTGAGTCTCTTGACAAAGAAGAACATGTAACTTTTAAAAATGAACTTTGAATAGAAGATTTTGATACTAATAAGTGAGCGAGAAATTTTAAGATTACTCATTATTTTGGTTTCAATGCTAGCAATACTCTTTTTAATCTTCGTAATTTGCTGTAAAACATCTACAACTATACATCCTTTCAATGAACTCTAAGATAGACATTTCTTACAAGTTTAAGACATTAAATAATTTTTTCAGAGACTTCGACTACATTTTAACATTCTCATCTGAAGCAGATCATCGAATAGGATTGAATATTCATTACTTGCTCTGGGTGGACATAAATGACGATTGAAACTTGACACTGGATAGCAAATAGGTTTATTATTGCATATGGGATGTTGAACACATCTGCCTTCTGGATTGTAACAAGAATTATCCACAGGATCACATTCAAATAATTCCTCACACTCGATAAATCGGTCAAGACAAAGACCCACGTTATTGGCATCAGCATCATAAAAGCAGCTACATGCAAGATTTGTTGAACGTCGATCATACTGTGATATTCCACGGCAGTATTGAGATTTGACTTGAACTATCGATGGACTAAATTGAAGGTAGAATACAATATAAAAAATGAGAAAAAATAAAATCTTTCGCAGGGTGAAAGAAAAAGAAAGCACTCAGTCTTCGACGGTTATGCAAATGAAGGGTGTGAGTGTGGGTGTGCGCACAGATTCACATACCCACAGCCGTACCGACATCCACACCCACACCCACATCCACACCCACCCCACACCCACACCCCACATCCCACACCCACACCCACTAGAGACCTGCGGAGTCAAACATTTTTGACTCCGACTCCGACTCCGAAAACTCTTAATGACTCCGACCTGACTCCGACTCCGAGAATTCTTAATGACTCCGATTCCGACTCCGACTCCGAAAATTTTTTTAAAATGACTCCGACCCGACTCCAACTCCGAAAATTGTTAATGACTCCGACTCCGAAAAACTCCGAAAATTTTTTTCCAAGTGCTCTTTGGTTTTTTCCTAGTTCGTTCATCTATATATACTTTCTGTTTGAAAAATAAAATGGACGTTGT